AATAACTAGTACCATGAAATGATCTGAGCAACACACTGGAAACCAATGTAATCGCAATATGAGTCGTTTAGTACAATTTAAAAAGCATCTGCCAGAAAAACAATCCAGCTTCCCTATTTTACATAAATGATTTTACAAAAGCAGTTTTGAATAAAGCAAGATAAATGAGAAATACTAAGGTAAGGACTTCTATAAGCAGATGTTAAGCATAAATTGCTGTTTACACCTTGGTTTGCATGGCTTTTAGGCCTCAAAAGGGCAACATTTGGTTAGAAGGGACATTAAAACACACTGCATTTATGTTCTATAGCAGGCATGTCAAACTGGCTGCCGCAGGCTGGATGAGTCATGCACAGGCCATGGCCACTCCAGCTCTGTGAAGGGAAAAAACATTGCAAAACTTCATGTAATGGCAAGGTGACACCGTGAGTCGGACGCTCATGTTCTATAGTAAACAGAAATGAATTGTGTCTTAACATACATCTCATTATGGAATATACTACATTGTTACATTGAGATTTTCTCGCATTCACAATTCTTTTATAAAAATATTTTTTTAAAAAATTACATTCACAATTCTGATTGATGTGACATTTTTGCAGGAAAAAAAGTAATATCAGTGCCACAAAACATTTTACTGGGAATTTTTGAAATAGGAAAATCTTTTTTTTTTTCTATTGACATAATCAATTAAAGCATGATAAGTATAAAAGTATACATTTGAGTCTCGGGTCAGAGTGAACCATTTTACCATTATTGATCTCAAAAGCATGAAGCAAATGGCCAAATTTCCATGGACTCCAAAAAATATGGGGGAAAGGCCTTGAATTTAAATCCCAAAGGAAAGACACAGAAACAGTCAATTTCTGTGTACTGCAGCAAAAATGTCTTCTGTGCAAATATGACTTCATTAAAACTAATAAAATAGCTAATGTAGTCATGTAATATCTATGAATTTTCACAATAAGCAAGTTCATGAATATGCAGTTCAATATCTGGAGAATAATGGTCTATTGCGGTGTCTGGAATGAAGCCTCATGATAACTGATAATTAGTCTCAAGTAAACAGCTGGTACAATTCTGCTATAAATTGCTCTGCAGAGACAGGCAAATAAGAAATTTTGAGATTTGGCAGGTTTTGGTACTGATCCATAGAAAAAGTAAAGTTTACCCCCAGAGTTAAGAGCTTCAAGCTTTTAAACATTCAATCATAGCTGAAGAAATATACTCAGTTTTAATTGCTCCCTTTCAGTGGCTCCAAGAGCCAGATAAACTGGTAACACCAGTCTTTAACATGCATTGTTATTAATGCTTCAGTAGAGATTTACTCCTATTCATATCAAAACTGGTTCATACATCACATCAATCACTCTAAACAGTTTCCTGCTATTAATATACACAGAAATTTCTCATCTGCACTTCACCCATGGCAGTTTCCATTAGCTATTTCTGGGGGTTTTGGAAGTAGGCTAGAAATTTTAGAGGTAATAACAACCTACCCTAGAAAATTATATATTTTATAATCATGGAATAATTTTAAATGTTGTTTTTGCACTTACCTTGTGTACCAGTGCAGCACATTCTTTTAATGGTATCGTCTCTAATTAAATGAAGAACAGGTTACTACTGATCTCCGGAGAACACGGGACTTTCTCCCATGTTATTTGGCACCTTACTTACCCACCACTTACCATATTCAGCTGAATTCTGGAGGCTTGTGAAAGGATACAGGAAACTCATTTTCCTTTCTCATATTCTCCTATAAGCTTTCCTTTGAATCCAATTATCTATACCTTCTGTAAGTCAATGTGGTTGAGATGCTTTGCTTTGGGTTTCTATTAATTTCCATTGCACTTACATTTATAAATACAGGTATTCAAAAAACTTACCTATTTTAACTCTTCCTCTTTCAGGACCTTCTCCCATTACTAGAATATTTGCTGGTTTCTGGGAAAGGAAAGGAAAATATTCATATATTTCATGTATCACACATTAATTTAATAGTACAGTTTTATATATAAAAGATTTAGAATACACAGATCATGTACTTCCCTTGAAATGTTATTTTAAATTGGATATGTATATTTCTTTCAATATAGAGATAGAAGTATTTGGGGGGGAGGCAGTGGTTTGTTCTCTAAGCTTGTTTCAATTTAGTTTCTGAACATTTCATTACCAGACTAGGTAACATCATCAGCAGGATTTTTTGGTGCTACTTTCCTTAGCTTATAAATGTCTTTGTGTGCCAGTGTGGTCAGTTGGTTTTTTATTTGAATAAAAAAAATATAGTTCATTTGGAGCTATATTTAAATTTGGAGCAGCTGATTGGTTCTCTTGTTCATTGGTTGTTGAAATGGTCAGGTTTCTTTTTCTATTAGTTCGTTGAATTCTGATTAATTTTATATGAAACCATTTGAAATAACCATATTATTAAACATTGCTTCAATATAACTTAAATGCTTTAAAAGGGAAAATACATTTTTACAAATGTTTCATTTTATCTATAATAAATCCATGCAGCTAATAAATCTGACTCCAATATCACCATCTATTGAAATTGTTACTCTATTTTATCTTTTTATGCCTACCCATGTTGACCTCTCAGTGTCCAACTTATCTGCCAACAGTTCTATTGAAATGGAAAATAGTATCCTGGAAATGCTTAAATATCTTTCTAGTCTCTTGAATTCAGGACAGCCCATTGTCACTCTTCAACTGACAACTGAAATATGTGACCTATGAATAATGTTTCTCTGTGGAGGAAAGTACAGCCAGCCATATTTTTCCTTCAACTGGAAGAAATCAATTTATTTTTATTTTCATGGCCTGTCGCTGATTTTGGAAACTAGCTTTAATTGTTTTGACTATAATCTGCACATTTTTCTTTATGTGAAAGATACCTTGTCAGACTCCAAATTGTCCACAGCTCTCACTTTTCTCAAATTCAAGTAGTCGTTGATTTACAACAGATTGTTTAGTGACTGTTCAAAGTTACAACGATACTGGAAAAAGTGACTAATGACCGTTTCTCACATTTATGATGGTTGCAGCATCCCCACGGTCACATGATCAAAATTCTGACACTTGGCAACTGATTCATATTTATGATGGCTGCAGTGTCCTGAGGTCATGGGATCAGTTTTTGTGACTTTCTGACAAGAAAAGTCAATAGGAAAACCAGATTAACAACCATATCACTAATTTAACAACTGCAGTAATTCACTTAACAATTGTGGCAAGAAAGATCATAAAAAAGGACAAATTTACTTAACCAATGTCTCACTTAGCAAGAGAAGTTTTGGGTTCAATTGTGATCGGAAGTCGAGGACTACCTGCAAAGACACCATCCACAATTCATCTGCATCTACCATAAATCTGTATTATTCCGTTTTAGCAACTTTAAAATACGTGGACTTCAATTCCCAAAATTCTCTACCCAGGGGACTTTAAATCCACATATGTTAAATTTGCTGAGGTTGAGAAACACTAGTCTAAATCTTTGGATCTTACTTGGACAATGACAGGCTATTAAATTCACTATGTGACTGAGGAATTCCTTTCCCAGACAAGTTTTCCAGTGTATCTTATATAATATTTTCCTTTTTCATTCCCACCCCAGCTCTAATCTCTCACTGACCAGCTTCTTCTGATTCATTTTGTAATTTGGCTTTTCTCTTACCATTTAGAAATCCCCCCACTCCTGCAAAGTCTCTGTTCCCATCCCTACTTCTCCCTTTCAGATATCTTCCACTAAACAAGTCAAAATTCCTAATGTTTCTTGACTTCTGCTTAATATTTACGAAACATTCCAGTCCTGAAGGCACCAATACAACCTTTAGTCTGTCAGAAAAGAGCAAGGGATTAAAAGAGAAGCAGAAGTTAGGAAGAACTGAGCTCTTCATTGTTTATTTATCTGTTACATTTATATACCTTTCCAATCAAAAATTGATTCTGAGCAGCTCATGTACTTCATGCAGTAACCAAATTAAAAATATCAAATGATAAAAATAACAAAGCAACAATTACAACCAAAAGGTGGTGGGGAGAAACTTACAAATATTTCCCTACAGGAAAGAACCATGCTATTTTTCAAGCTTGCTGAAAAAGCATAATCTTAATGGCTTTATTGGATCTCTGGTGTGCTGGGGGAACATCACATTTCTAAAAGCACAGCATTTCAGAAAAGAGGGCAATAACAGAGAATGCTTCCTTCTACATCCAGTCTTGCAGGGCTTCTGCCCCAAACAAGGAGAATAGGCTATCAATTGGTATGACAAAACTGTAAGAGAAAACATATTTTGAGACCACACTTCTAAGATACTATCATCTACAGGTAGTTCTCGACTTACAATCACAATTGAGCCCAACATTTCCACTGCTAAGCAAGGCAATTGTTAAGAGAGTTTTGCCCCATTTTATGACCTTTCTTGTCATTAAGTGAATAACTGTAGTTGTTAATTGAATCATTTGGTCATTAAGCAAATCTGGCTTCCCTCACTAACAGCTTGTTAGAAGCCAGCTGGAAAGGCTACAAAAGGTGATCACATGACCCTGGGACAGCACAACTGCCATAAATACACCCTAGGGGCCAAGCACCTGAATTTAGATCATGTGACCATGGAGTCCTGCAACGGTCATAAGTGTGAAAATCGGTCATAAGTCACTTTTTCTGGTGCTGTTGTAACTTTGAATGATCATTAAATGAATGGTTATAGGTCTATCTGTACACAAATGTTCTCAAAAGATATATAGAAACATATACAAATAAATATAAATTGAAAGAAGTTTGACATGCAGAGGCTAAGGTGACCTAGAAGGAATCAGATCTAGTATGACTTTTAATATTGTCTACTCTCAATAAAAACTTCATTGAGAAAAAAGAAAAAAAAACATTCAAAACTGGTATATGTTTGTTCAATTCATCTGATTCTGATGATTTAAATTCATTCAAGATAGTTATTCTTTTATGAAAGTCGTGACCAAAATTAGGGCATATTCAGTTTTTTTAGGGGAGTCCTCTATTTCTGTCCTCCTAAATGTACAGAAAGTAGATTTGCGGGCATTAGAGAGAGTGAAGGAATTTATTCTGCAAGCAGTAAACATTCTGCTTACTGATGGGTTTTGCTGGTTTTCACCCTTACTTAAAAGAAAATGCTGGCCCTGGAGTAAGCCACGTTGGTTGCTATAGAAACAAAGTTTTGGAATTTCATGTTTAAATTATCAGGAATAAAAACTGAACAAAGAGATCCCAACTGAGACTAAAACATAGGGTTTGACTATCCAGTAAAGATATAACGCAGAATGAACAAGATCAAAAATAACATAGAATATTTGCTATGAATACACATACAGACACAGACACAGACACAGACACACACACACACTGCAATTTAACGGAAAATCCTTAGAGTTGTAATATTGAATTGATTAAGTTATCATTCCATTCAGATTAGTGGACATAAACAACATAAACATCTCAGGGAGAAAGAAAGTGTAAAGGCAATTATGACATGCTCTTGAATAAAACTCACTTAACATAAAAAAGAAATCAATCCATATAAACTTTGCTACTGCATCAACTCAGTGTGATCAATTCTTTTCGTATGGAGAAGGTCAAAAGGGAGCCAGCAAAAACAAACAGAGGTAAAACTGTCTGCAGTTTTGAATGAGAGGAACACACCCGATTAAGTGATAAGAGAAACAATGGACAACAGAATGCTAGCATTTAGTAACTCTTACTGTTCCCAGGCTTATCTAGAATATAATTCTTTTGAAACTTGACATTCCCATGAGAAAAAACATTCTCTTTGGCATAATGCTGTTGTCCTTGCATGTTTTTTTAAAAAAATATGCATTGTATTACCTTATATATTATATTATGAAACTATATTGCAAGGACTTATCACACATGAAAATATCTGTATGGTAAATTAACTCCAAAAAGTATAAACATTGCTGAGATTCTTGCAAAAAACTAGAACTGAAATTAGGAAAACATCCTCCCCCAAAGAAAAAATCTAATAAAAACAAAGGTTTTAAACACTCAATAATTCACACCAGGGTAACAGAGATCCCTGAAAATAGAGATCCTGATAACATAATCTTGGCCAATGAAAATGAATGAACAATAATGGTTGTATGATTATTTAACATGGCACAGATATTATTCGATAAATTAAGCCACTGGGTTTAACATGGACAATGCATTATGGACTTAATGCGCTGGATTTCAAGAACTCTTGTACATAAGGCCTTGCGTGATCATTATTGTGCAAATGCGCATACAGACAGAATACACTGGGATTGTGTATTAGACATATCTAGTTCCTTCAATCGTTCATTGTACGGTTTAGCCTACAGACCTCTTATCATCTTTGTTGCTCTTCTCTACACTCTTTCTAGAGCCTCAGCATCTCTTTTTTTGTATCACTTTGCATCATTTTGTATTTTGTACAATGAAGGAGAGTTTTTAGTAGGACATTCATGTGCTTTGTACATTTGCATCCATTGCAATTTTGATCCTGTAGTTAACTTCAATGAAAAATCTTGGGACACAGTTTTAACTAACAGGAAGAATATTGGTAAAAGACTGGAAGGCTTGCCATCTGGGTATCATGTCTTCTTAACTAGTTAGTTAGAATGAATCACTGCACATACCTGAAATATAAATTTATAAAGAGACAATATAAAAGTAAAAGAATATTGATCATAGATGGGCTGGGTACATCAAAATCTTTATTAATGGCATAAAGTCTCTGTAGTCTCAATGTCAAAGAAAATAAGAATATTTCCAGAGTAATATTTTTTCCAGTCATATTCTAGGAACTGCTATAGTTCATATCCCTTAATTAGGCTGAATTTGTCTTTACACGTTTGGCTATGATAACCTGTGTGATTAATCCAGGAAAGAGTTAATCAGAAAAGAGACGTGTATTATTTTTTTTAAA